CAAGAAATCAAAAGGTCGAGAGTTGGTAGAGGAGGAACTGATCTACTTAAAAAGATAAATGAATACGAAGGCGAAAATTGTTTCATACCTACAGATGGTCACTGTTTTATCAAATGCGTCAATCGTGTTTTGAACAAAGATTTAACGTGTAAATTTCAAGAATACATCAACGGGTTTTCAAAAGCAAATAGAAAAGGAGTGATGACAGGAATTCAACAAGAAATTTAACACTTCTTTTCAAATTTATAATCCCAAAAACAGACATTTTCACCCCAGAGACGTTCACGATGAATTAGATTGGGTTTTGTACTTACACAACTCACATTTCTGTTTGATTAGAAGAAGCCAAAAAAGTTTGGGAATTCAAGAAACAGAAGACAATTACGAACAGGTGTGGAAAACGTGTAGAGACGATAACGCAGTAACACAGGTTTCACCCCTCAAACTAAACGTGCTTTCGAGTATGAGTGATGATGCGTTATTCGCTTGGGATTGCGAAACATATTCAGAAAAAGACACGCGAAGAGCAAATCCTTATGCCTGCACTTTAATTAATTTAGAAAAACTAAGGAAAATGTTAAACAGAATAAATAATCTCTTTCCAGATTTAAAGTCATCAGATCCCCTTCCAGAAGAATTTTATGATAAACTAATGAATGTAGTAGAAATATTTGTAGGTACAGATTGCATCGATCAAATGTTGAAATATTTAGGTCAATATGATAGAAAGAGATTAATATTAATTTCTCATAACGGCAGTGGATTCGACAACTGGATCGTGCTTAAAAATGCAAAAAAACTAATGCATTGCCCTTTAAAAACACCCAGAGGAATTCTATCTTTTCCTTTATCTAATCCATACACGGATGAAGATTTACAGAAAAAATGGAAAAGACAGAAAGAAATAAAGGGTAATTATTTACAACATATTAATTTCACGTGTTCCTATCAACACGAATCCTCTAGTTTGGCTGCATGGGGAAATTCTTCCAATCTTCCCGCGAATTTGAGAAAGATTGCCGACGTAGATATCGCTATATACACGCAAGACAATTGGGAGAAATTGAGACACGAATGGGAACCTTACGCCAAGAGAGACACTCTCTGTTTGGGAGCTTGTTTGATAAAATACAACCAAGTGACGAAAGAAGTTGTAAACCAGAATATGTCCAATAATCTAACGGCTCCATCTTTATCTTTAAAGGGTTGGTATTATTTATATCATTACGATAAAGAAATGGTGGAAGAAGAATGGTATGAAACTACTAGAATGGTTGCGAAACATACCGAAAAAGAAAACGTAGAAAAAGTTTATTCGCACACTAATCCTTTTATAAGAAATTTTATCAGACGATCTATTAAAGGAACAAGATGTTCTGCAAATAGAAAATCATTTGAAATGAACAAAATGGATGAAATTTGTAACGTATTAAAGGAATATATTTCGCAAAGTGAAAGTAATAACATAATTGATTTATTCAAAGAATACAGCGCAAGCACAAAAGACAAAACGGAGGTTCATTCGAGACTTAAAAAAATAGAATATACTAAACTAATGGCATTTGATGCTAACGGTTTATACGCTTCCGCCATGTCGGATTTAGACAGTGAATATCCGAGAGCGGAAAGTGGAAGACCGTTTCTACCAGAAGAAGAAAAAAGAATTTGTGAAACTCTTCAATAAACAAAAATTCAGACCTAGAACAGCTATTTTAACAGTGTGGTTTGACTATCCCAAAAACATGTTCTTCCAACCGATACCAGCTAAAGATAAAATCACTTTCACGAATAAAGAAGGTAAAAAGGAAACGGGTAACAAAATCAGGTTCAGAAATGGTTTCTGTCACGACGTTTTAACATCGGTCGATATTCAAGAAATAGTGAAAGCCGGTGGACGAATTATTAGAATATTAGATGGTATAGTTTACGAAGAAAATTTTAAAACTCCACCCTATAGAGATTATGTTTTAATTTTGAGAGATTTAAGAAATAAATATAAACGAGAAGGTAATATCGTGGGTAGTAATTGCATGAAATTATTAGGTAATTCCTTGTATGGTAAATCAATTCAGAAAGACATATTCACAACTAGACATTTATGGAATGAAGCAACTTTACAGGCCAACTTTGATTCACGCGTTAAAACCTATGAGAAAATTAATGATACTCAATATATTGTTGAAACAGAAATTGAAGAAAAAGAGATTACTACCGAAGACAGTAAATCTACACGACTAACACCTAGTCATTTGGGATCGTTCGTTTTATCTCACAGTAAAAAAATAATGAACAATTTCATTCACGTCATAAATGGATTTTATAAACCCGAAATATACTATACCGACACCGATAGTTTGTACATTTCATCCAAAAATTGGAAAAAACTAAACAGAGCTGGTTTGGTCTCCGAAAAAGACTATTGCAAAGGTAAAAACGATTACGGTGACGGTGGAATTATATTTGGTTTATATTTAGTCGATTGCGCGTATATTCGTTTATCGAACCCTAGTAACGCATTCAACGAATTTTCTACGTTGAAATCGACTTGACTGTTATTTCTCAAGATCAGTTTTATTTTGTTCAGATTCAGATTAACTTTGAATTCGATATTGTTTTTGCCGTTCACGCTTCCTGCGTATTCGGATAGATATTCGTTGATGGCCACGTATTCGTAGCTCCCCGGTAGTAAGCTTATGGTTTCGAACGTAACTCCGCTATCCGTCGATATTTTTAGTTGATTGTTTTTTTCGTTGATGTTTCTAATGGAATTGTAAACGGAGAAATACTTTAATCCCAGTTCGTACTGTTTATTGCGATCGAGTTCATACTCGTAGTCTAGAGACAATTTGATGTCTGGTTTATTCGAGGTGATAACGAACAATTGTTCTTTATTGGACATTTTTAATGACGTTTATATAGTCTTTTTTAGTGATGTT